CAGAATTCCCCAGCCAGCCTTGCTGGCTGGGGGATTCTGGGAGTTGAAGTTCACACATCTTCAAGTCACCAAGGCTGAGAAACACAGCTATAGTGGTTCTGTTTGTGTGACACATTGAACCAAATCAGTTAAAATCTAACCAATGCATTCATGGCTTACTTAGTTAGCTCTAACAGTGGTTATTCTTTGTTCATAAAAGTGTTGTTCAAACCCTGTCATTTTGAATAGCTTTTATTAAAAGATTTTACATATATAATAAGAAGTACATTGAAAGAAAAAGATACAGTAAATGTGAAAGAGAAAAGAAAAGAAAGATTTTAAAAACCACGTTATTAGATGTGCCATACAGAGGATATGGAACAGATATAAACCCAGGCTGTGCCCGAAAACCCCTTTCTGGATCTCAGCACAAGAAACATTTTACAGAAGAGAAACAACAGGCAAAGACAAATGGTTAACCTACCAGGAATTATTGGAGAATCATCCAGGGGGATATAAAATTAAATTAAGAGAATAACTAATGGCAGAAGGATATAGTTGTCCATAGTTCTCCCATTGACAGCTATCAGAAATATTTAAAATGGATAAATAGACTCATGGTATGGAGCAAAGAAAGGCAGAATTTGAAGTGCAATTGTGTACAGATGATGAACATGTAATTGCTAAAATGTATAGACTTTTGTTGAAATTTGAAATGGAAGAAGAATGGGGTAAAGAATGTATGATAAAGTCGCCTAAGAATGTTGGTTATAATATACAGATGGATCAATGGGAAAATACGTGGTCAAAAGGGTTGAAATTTACATTACGTTACGGTTTTAAAGAGAATTTTTATAAAATGATGTATCATTGGTGCATGAGGCCAGAGAAATTATCCAGAACGTATAAAGGTATTCCAAATGTATGTTGGAAATACGAACAACATGAAGGGACATTCTATCATGCTTGGTAGACATGTAAAAAAAGCAAAAAAAAAATGGATTCAAAAGCACACATTCATACAGAGGATTTTGAAGACGAATATTCAATTGAAGCCAGAACTTTTCCTTTTGGGACTGATGGATACCCAGTTCGAAAAGAGTCATGGAAGATTATTTCAAGATTTGATTACTGTGGCGAGATTATTCAGTGCAGAGAAATGGAAAGATTGGGCATTACCCACCACGGAGGAATGGTTGGTGAAATTGACAGAACTTGTCGAGGTGGCCAAACTGACTTCTTCGATTAGAGAAAGGTCATTATTGACATTCATCAATGTCTGGGAAACCCCTTATGGACTTTTTGCATAAGGAAGAAGATGATTTTGTGACTGATGGTTTTGATGGTTAGAAAGAGTAGGCTATAGAAAGAAAGGAATGATGAGAAAGGTTTGATCAGAACTGTATGAACAACTACCAGGAGGAAGATCGGAAGGCATTTCTTTATATTTCTTTTCATGTTTTCTGTACTTTTCTTTCTCTTTTTTCTTGCTCTTTTCCTTTTGTTTCTTTTCTCTTTCACATTTACTGTATCTTTTTCTTTGGATGTATTTCTTATTATATGTGCAAAATCTTTTAATAAAAACTATTCAAGCCCAGTCAGTCTGGACAGTTTATGATTCAATATATTGTCTAAACCCCATAAAATCGGGCAGTTCAATACCCAGATTGAGGGATTGTGAGCGAACTCACTGTGTGTTCTTCTCTCCTTTCAGCTCAGAAAATATGCAACACTGATTTGAATTAACAGTAGCTAACATTACGTGAACAGTGGTGAAGAAATCCCCAAAACTGAGATGTTTTTGCCCTGCAGATACCCTTTCTGCTGGATACTTCCAGTCTGAACCGAAAAGCACCGAAACTTACAGAATGAGTTTTGCTCTCTCTCTTCCTTTTTTCAGAACTTACCTGCAATCAAAAATGTTAGCTTTCTCTTTCTTTTCCCTTCCTTTCAATCCTGAAAAAAAAGTAATGGCGCTGTTCCCCATACTGATAAAACAGGTCATCTTCAAGATTAGGGCTGTGTTGGGTCGAAACCTGCAAGAATTTGGGTCGTGATGCTGGACCTGCCCTGCCTACAGGAACCCTTAATCTTCAGTACAGAGGAAGTCCCTGAGCCTTCTGAGCCTTTCCCAAACACCCTGCAAGAGACACCATTTGGGAAGCAGCCTTTATTAAACCTTAGGGAACAGAACCACCACAAAAATCAGAAATAACTTAAGGGAGCTCAACACTCCAGATGTTTGGGGTGGGGGAGCCGCAGCCAGCGTCAGCATCATCACCCGTCCCAATCCACCAAATCAGGCAGCTGCGACAGATGTTCCTGATCAACGGTGCTGGTGCTCTGAACAGGGGTCCCTTGGCTTTAGTGGTAGTGCTTGTTATGCTCACTGTAGTCATAAGGATCCCCCTCAAAGGGTAGGGGAGGAGGGTGGTTGTAGATTCCCACCAAGAAGATCCATAAAGTCCCGAGGCTGAGAATGGGGGTGACCAGGAAGAGGCAGAGGCGGTCCACGGTCCGGGCAATGCGGTTCCAACTGTCTTTCTCCTGCAAGGGGAGATACGTTGAAATAACAGGATTGGGAAGGACCCAAAGGCGCTCACACACCCCGGATCAACTCCACAGCAGCGTGCCCCCAGCGCCACAGCAGGAAAAGCCTGCTGGATGCGCTGGCACAGCACGCTCAGCTTGAAAGTGGCTTAATTCAGCAACCAGGTTAAGTGAGTTGTGTGAGCACAGCACGCCTCTCGCCGGCTTTCCCCATCCCTGCCAAGCACTGACCACCATCTGCGTGATAAAAGTCACTTTGGCTACCTTCATCTCAGACATTATGCATAGCCTGGTGACTAAGTCAGTTTGTTTTCTGGATTCACACGATGCCCTGAAACATAAAATAGGTTTGTACCACACATGAAGCCCCTCAAACAAACTAGTTAAAAGGAGCCAGGATTAGTATGTTGTATGAATACAGCTGCTGGGTCTTGATCTGATTCAACGTATTATATGAATGCAGCCTTTACATGGCCAGCCAGAATGGTAGCAACAACAGATGTGAAGGCTCAACTTGGAAATTTAGAATGGCTCATAAAGTATTATTGTTGTTGTTGTTCGCAGAGTCAGCCAGACATTTAGAGTGGTTTGGCATTTTTATCCACCTTTTGAATCCTTCCCAAGGACCTGGGATAGGCAGATGTTGTTTGATGGTATTAAAGGTTTTGTCACAGGTTGCAAGCTGTTCCAAGTAAAGCTGCCTTTTCAACTGACCGCTGATGACTTTTTTATTATTATTTTCATTATTAGCATTAACATTATTATTAGCATCCTCAGTCATGATTTCCACCAGTGATAAATGGACACCTTGAACAATTAATAAATATAAATGTATCTTGATGTTGCTAGAATGTTTTATTATTCCCCCCCCCCCCAAAAAACTAAGGCTAACTAAGTTTGGAAAGTAGAAATTTTTATTAGAATTTTGCCCACAACAGAACAGGAACTGACCATTGAGGAATGTTGCGGTCATAGGAGGCAGAACAGGAAGCAATTAATTTTTTTAAGAGCAGGAAAGAAAGTGCCTATTAGTTGCTCCAGAATTACCGAACTAAAGTTAAAAAGTGCAAACAGTGAAAAAGAAAGAGAAAAGAGAAAAGTAAGTAAAAAAAAGTTTTAAAATGTTAAAAAGTAAGTAAAAAAGGAATGGCTACGAATCAGGTTGGAAAGAACAAGACGCATCACACCAACTACAGTGGGGTGATGTTTAATTTCAAAAGTGAGTAACTAAGGAAGACTGTCCCCAACTGGTGGTTCGGCAGAGGTCCTAAGAGACCAGCTTCCTGAATACTCCACCCGTTTCCCTACTGCAAGCACCCAGTTGGGAAAACCTGTTCTCAACCACAGCCAGAATGAACCCCATCCTTCTGCACTATGATAGCAGAGCATCGTCGTGTTTATGACAGATCTGAGGAAGTCAGGATAAGTTGGTGATCCTGAAATGCATGACACGCCTACCTCATTATAGTTGTTCTTCTCCCGCATGTGCTTCACAATGAAGTTGGCTCCAGCAATCGCTGGCTTGATCTCATTGTAAAGCTGTTCTTGCAAATCGTCTGCCCCGTGGGGGTTTGGTCCTAGTGGGCAGAAAAGAAGGAAGCTGTGAGTCAGGGAGTGGGGAGATCTAGAGAGTTGCAATGATTTGTGCAAAGCAGCTAAGATCTTGCAGGCAAAACATGGGCTTCTACCGAAGACCATCAATTCCAAAATTCATCCGTTCCAAAAGAATTGAAATGAGAGTCTCAGCTTCCAGGAAGAGATGTGGAGATGGCAGACCCACTGAGTCACCATCAGATTCTACCTCAAATGGAAAGTAATCCTTTCCAAGCAAGATTCTCCCAGAGTTTTCTTTAATAAGATTTATTGAGATGAAAGGGACGGGGTTACAAGAGTTCCAGCAAAACTGAATTACTTTCCATTGAGAAGCAGTCAGTGACCACAGACATTATGGTGGAGACTTTCTGATTTTTCTTTCAAACAGCATTCCCATGATCTGGTGAACTGGCAGGTTTCTTTGCTGATAAGAGGGAAGCCTGCTGCCGGCTATTTTATTTAAGTCTTTTGAACCTTTGTCAGAGTGAGAATCAACTCCTACACAGTGAGTTCTGTGCCAGTTCCAGTATTCCTGGAATCCCCATTGGAGCCCACCCTTCTTAAACTATAAGTCAGTGTTTCTCAACCTTAGCAATTTTAAGATGGGTGGACTTAAGATGGGTGAACATGGCTGGCTGGGGAATTCTGGGAGTTGAAGTCCACCCATCTTAAAGTTGCTAAGGTTGAGAAACACTGCTATAAGTTCATGAAAGACAGGGGGCTTTGTTAAAGAGGTTAAACTAGCCAGTTAATCTGCTGTGGCTCCACCTGGCCCAGTTAAACTTGTGGTGTGAAGTGTCGGATTTTTGCACAATACACCAAAATAGCTAAAACAGGGTTGAGTAGCTTAGGATTCTGCAAGTTATGGGTACCCAGCCATTGTCTTCATGTGTGATGTGAACTAGGGCATGTAAAGTCATCGGTTGATGCTGGATTAGAGGACTTTTTCAGTGGTGTCCACACTGCCCTTGGGCATGGAGGCTTAACCATGACCACCGACTTCTCTGCCGCTCCCCTTCCCCTTTCGCGCTTACGGGCAGGGGTGATCCGGCTAGCTAGGCCATGCCTCTCCGACTGCTTCTCAAACATGAGCTCGCTGCGGGACTTAATGGTGAAATATTCCTCAGCCTTGACGATGTAACCAACGGAGCTACTGCGCCGGATCAGCAGGCCTTCCCGTGGCTCCAGATCAATCTCCGCTGGCTTGGACATGTGCAGGAGGCGAGGAAGGGTGTCAAGGAAGAGCTGTGGATAGAGAAAGGAGGAGAGGGGAGGTTTTCTTCTTCCAGGTTTTTTTTTTTTCAACTTCCCAGTCTGGCCAGCAGCTGAAAGATCTCCTGGTAGTCTCCCATTCTAGTGCCAAAGTAAACCAAAGTGGACTAGAAGTAGCCAGCTAGTTGTGTGTGCCAGAATAGGCCCTTTGAAAACCAAAGCAATGCCAGAAACAATGGCAAGTGTTAGAAATAAATAAGAATCAAATGTAAGAACTGCAATTCATTCAATATTAGGCTTTCGTGAACCCCCAAATATCCCCTAACTCCAGTAAAAGAGAGCCTCTGTAGCTCAGGGTTGAACTGTGGAGTTCTTGGTGTTCTCTGAGCTTGGCGGTTGGCTTGCAGACGTTTCATTACCCAGCTAGGTCACCTCATCAGTGCACAACGTCCTATGATTGCTTCGTTTTAATCCCAGTTTGTTTCCTTGCGTGTTGTGAAACTGAGCCCCCTGTGGGTTTTGTAAATTATGAGAACCCAGAAAATGGGTTAATTCCGTCCCGGCATCAAACAGGTTGTGCGAATTGAGACTCTGAGTTCAACTGGAGACCAGGGAACTTTCCTGCTTTTTATTTCACGGGAATATTGACCCTCAGTAGCAAGGGGTGGTATACCTGGGAAAAACCCCGGCCGACAGTTTGGCCTCACATTTGCCCCATCCCCTCCAACAAAGTTCTGTACCTCTGGGAAAAAAGCCACAAAATGCTGGTTTTTCATAATACGGCTGCCAAGCTCCAGGCGCCTACAAAATTACTGCTTCCGACTAAGCTGGTCTATGACTGTAATTGATGTGATCTGATTTCATTGTTTCCAAGGCAACCCAGCTATGAAAACTCAAGTCACCCAGGATTGGCGGATCTTGAGGGAACGGGCCAGAAACCTTCCAAGCAGAGGCATCCACGGGAGGTCAAAAAAGTCAAGATGGCTGTCACAACACAATTGAAGCCCTGCCTCTTTTTTAAAGGTGTCCCAATGCACATGAACAAGGGGTATGGTCATGACAGCCAATCTTATTTTTTTGATCCCTCTCCCTGGATACCCCAGGTATAGACTTTGGCCTGGCCTGGCCTGGCCTAGCTGGGAAAACACAGTTTGGTGGTGGTCCTGTACTCGCCTCGTGCTGTGTAACAGGGAGGCCCTCCTGAGTCATGGGCCCCGTCTGTTTGATTCGACGTGGACCCCTCCTGACCTGCTCAGCTGCAGCTTTTAAGCTATCCTGGGATGTCCCCTGGCAGAGTTTTCTGGCTAGAGGCAATGGTCCCTGAGTTTCGATGCCCCTGAGCTCATCTGGGATGCCCTGCGGTGAACGTGGCCGAGCCTTCAGACTTTGGGTCCCGCCGATGCTGGTCTGGAGAGCTCAGTTGCTACCCCCCCGTTTTCCTCAGGCCCAGAGAGAGCAGAGGCTGCCCACTCCCGGCACAATGACGGCTCCCTGATCGAGAGAAGGGCCTTTATTACAAAGCCATTCATCTGCCCATCTTTCATGTGCTGGGCCTTAGGGAACATGATGCTCCTGCACTGTAATGAGTGCCAAGAGGCAGCTGGGTTCCTTCAGGAAGGCGACAGTCCTAAACCAGAGGAATTTAAAAAGCTATTTGGAAGCAGCTGCCGCCAACCTCCACACCGTCTCCCAGACCTCTGTCCCAACGAATGCTTTCGCCGCCTGAGGAGACGCCAACATTTGCACCCTTTCCTGCCTGGGTTCCTGGCAAGCGGGCCCCGCTGGGCTGGAGGAGCAACGGCTGCATTCACACAACCCGCCTAACCTGGTTCTGAATGAATTTGTTTTCTGCGTTCACACAATACAATCCACCAAAGTTTGGCTAATGTGGGTCTTCCGGGCTGTGTGGCCGTGGTCTTGAAGTTTTGTTTCCTAACGTTTCGCCAGCATCTGTGCCCAGCATCTTCGGAGGGCAGGAGCACAGACGGGAGCGGTTCTCTCTGTGCCCAGGGTGATGTGACCCTTTTGTGGGTATTTATAGACATAAACGAGGGTGCCTGCGGGGGGCAGGGGGGTTGTGGGTTAACGAGCGGCTGCTTGTTTTGGTGTCAGTGTACGTGTGTATCTCCCTGGGGATTAGGCAGGGTTTTTTGTGTTGAGTTGTTAATGAAACCAAAACCAAATAAACAAAATAAACCAACGTTTATTTGCAGTCCAAAACCTACATTTGGGTCACGTGCTAGAAAGAGCCACAAAGGAGCAGGTTTAGCATGTTGTGTGAATGGAAGCAGCCGGTTCAGCACCTTTAGGGTCACCACCAATTAAGCAGAGCTGGGTTAAAGCAGCTTCTGATGTTCCCAGGGCTAGGACTCGTTCCCAATTAGTGTTCATAAAGTGGCAGTGTCAGCCTTACAAATTCCTGCAGCCCTTGGAGGTAAACAAGGCATTAAATTCCACTTCAGTTCATGCACAAGGGCCCTCTACTAGTTGGATTTCTAAATCTTCAGCGTTTGATGGGTTCAGTATTTGTAAAAACCAAGACCCTCTCTCTGTTGGACTACGCTGGAAATATCCAATATAGTAAGACTGTTTCATCCCTGCAGGGTAGGGTCAAAAAAGTCAAGTTGGTGGTCACGGCAGCGCAGTCTGCCTGTTTTTCATGCGCAATGCACTGTCATGACCACCATCTTGACCTTTTTGACCCTACTCTGCAGATACCCTTGATTGCTTCTCTGTTGAATAGTTCCTTCTTTCTTACCTCTTTCGTCCGTTCAGACAAGACATGGGTGCTGGGTGTCCGAAAATGAATGTTGAGTTCCACGGTGCAGGCCACCACGACGGCAGTCACGAGAAGCATAACGAAAAGCAGGTACCTATCAGCGGTATGGATGAGCATTGATCAAGTCAAGGGGGATAATTTCAAATTATTACCTCCCATTCTTTTTTCCCCTTTGAAGGGCCTTCAGAGAGTTCTGAAGCGTCTGCTGGGACGGTGGGAAGTTCATCACATGGATTATGACAGTGTTTCTCAACCTTGGCAGCTTGAAGATGTGTGGACTTCAACTCCCAGAATTCCCCAGCCAGCATGGCTATCTGGGGAATTCTGAGAGTTGAAGTCCACACATCTCAAAGTTGCCAGGTTGGAAAAACAGTGTTAAACCAAACCTTATCCCTCTCCAGCCAGAGTGGCTTTGATGGTATCTGGCTAAAGAATGATGGTAGTCGCAGTCAAAAACATCTGAAGGTTCCCAGTTTAGGGAACTCGATTTAAGATCTGGGAGACTTACTTGCCAATGAGTGGGATGGCAAAGGAGGTGGCAGGTAGGCGCCCCGAAATCAGCAGTAGAAATACTGACTGAGCCAAGAGGATAGAAATAGCCAAGGTCACTTTCTCTCCACCTGAAAGAATGATGAGAATTGCACCTCAGAACACCTCCACCAATTCTTGGCACCTCTGTCATTCCCTAGATCTGTTGCCTCTAGGACAGTGTTTCTCAACCTTGGGAACTTTAAGAGGTGTGGACTTCAACTCCCAGAAGCCCCCACCCACCTTCTCTCCACACACATCAGCTGTCCAACATATTCCCCTAACCTTAATTCTTATTCCCTGCTCCCCCACCTAATGTCATCTGTCATCTGCTCCATTATGAATTGGGGGTAGGTGGGGAGGTGACGTCATGCAAAGATTTCTGGGTCTGGAATGATCACCACCAAGCTAGGCCACGGGCTGGGTGGAAAATGCCACTGTTAAATGCCCCTTCAGTTCTCCACAAAGGAAGGAAGCAGTAGGGTTTTACTGATTCCCTTTTGTTATTGCAGGATTTTAAAATGCAATTTAAAAAATGAAAGGAAAAAGGAGAAAGAGTAAACAAGGACTTCCCCATACACACTGAGAAAGTAGAGCTGATTAATTAGTGGGCAAATTGGAATATATACCCCAGGGGTCCTGCTGTAGCAAGGAGCTAAAGCTACAGGTAGGAAGCCTCTAATTAAAGGGACAAAAGCTTTGAAAAGGTGTATCTGTTCATAGGAAGCCTTTAGTTAAAGGCACAAAAGCCTCAAAAAGCCCACAATGCACAAGTTGTGACAACCGCATCTTCAATTTTTTTTTTTTAAAACACAGGCTGGAAGAGGAGAGGAAATCCTGGGAACTAAATGCAAGGTGATGACATCTCCATTATTCATTGCAAAAGTGATTCAACAAAGCCACACAATCAATTTGGAAGCCAAAAAATCGCGTAAGCAAAAAGAATTTTTTACAAGCAATCAGGAAAGGCCAAATCCAGGAGAAGGGTACTTCCGCCTCAGAGAGACGGACATGTTTTATAAAAGTGTATATGTAGATAGGCATAACTGAACATCAGCTGAAAGTTTGGGACGCCCAAGGGGACTGCTTACTGTCAGCCGGCAAGTAGAACACGAGGATGGTCATGAAGGCGATCAGGATGCAGGGAGTGACAATGTTGATAACATAAAAAAGAGGTTTGCGCTTTATGATGAGGTAGAAGGTGATGTCCTGGTACTTGTTGCTCTCTCGAGAAACAAGCGGGTTGATGTTTTTACGAGCTGGTCTGTGAATAATCTCCCATTCGCCATTGCCTGAGGGTTGTGGAGAGAGAATGAGACACAGAGACAGCATGAGCCAGGAAAGCAAAGCAGTTTAAAGTAGCTGTTCCACTGGACTTTTCCAACCATTCCCATAATCCCCAGGCAGTCTGTGAATTAGAGGAGCTGTGGTCCAACACGGGGTGGAGAGAGCTACCCTTAGCTGCCCCAAACTCAGCCATGCAGCCGTTGCACGTGGAAAAGACAAGGAAGCCTCTTGACGGAGCAGTCACTGGCCTCCCCCTTTAGAGGTGCCGGTGAAATTTGGGCCCCTTTATAGGTGTAATTGGTCTTTCTCTGTTCTAAAACTTTTTAGAATTTTTTTTTTTTTTACAATTTCACAATGCCGTTTTGACCTTACAGCCGGTTGGGTTGGCTGCAAGGGGTCCAAACAATCAAGTCTGGTGATTAGAAAGAAGACTGGAAGCTGCTTCTTTATCATTTCTCCTTTCCTTTCCTTTCCTTTCCTTTCCTTTCCTTTCCTTTCCTTTCCTTTCCTTTCCTTTCCTTTCCTTTCCTCTCTTCTCTCTCTTTCTTTCTTTGCACTTTTTTTCACTTACTTATTCCTTTCCTTTCCTTACTTTTCTCTTTCAAATCGGTATGGTTTTTATTCTTTTAAAAATTTCTTTAATAAAAATTATATATAGAATTATATATAAAACATATAAAAATTATATATAGAATCATATATATAATATAAAAAAAGAAAAAAATTATGAAACAATCAAGGGGGCGGCTGAGACCGTGCGCTTGAAGACCCACCCTTTTTTGATGCCTGTCAACCCTTGAAGGTTCAGCTGAACAGAAAGGCAAAGGAGTGCTTGAATAAAGAATAAAAAATATATCATAATAAACTGAACATTGCTTTGACTCCAAAGTCTGGCTCACCTTATGTCGCACCAACCCACATTGTGGTTTGTGGGAATTCAGCTAAGGATGCTCTTTGAGCCCTGTTCCTGGGACTTGAAAATCCTGTGTTATGGCTTGTCAGGATCCAGCCTATTGGGGCTGCTTCTGCAAGCCACGCTTAAGCAAACAATGGCTTGTGTGATAGGAAAGCCAAGTTCACCACACCGCAGCTTGCAAGCGTCCTTACTTGTAAATCCTCCCGGGTCAATGATGATCCATTCCACAAAGTACCACGGCTGGTTTTCACCATCTTGTTTGGACATGATCTGTATGTCGATCTCGTTCGCATTGTATCTCAGGGAGCTGGTGAAGACGAAGAGAAATCCTTGTAGCATCCGTGCTACAAAAGTCAGACCGCTAAGAGCCCTTTCTGCAAATACCCAACCCCGTGGATTGTTAAGCAGCTTAACAGGTAGCTTTATCAGATTGGAAAAATCTAGCCCAGTCCACACAGCTTAAAGTTGCCAAGATTGAGAAGCACTGGGTTCAATGGACCCCCTGGCTCGGGCTTTCCCTTTGGACTTATCCAGAGGGTATCCATGGTGGCATCTCTCATAGCTGCTTACCTGAACTTCAGGGTACAATTCTGCCAGTCAAAGGGGAAGTAATTGACATTGATGGGGCAGGCGCTGCGGAAGATGGCAGGCGGTAGCCAGTACACCTCGCCCGAAGAGTACACCAGTATATTGGCACGGTACGCAATTTCAAAGTTTCCGTCGTTGCTATGAAAAGGAACGAAAGGCGCCATTGGAAGGGATCGTTCTTCCCAGCCAGATCGTGGTAGTCTCGTCGACTTCATCCTCCTCCACCTTTTCCCAACCAGTCCCTTGCAGCAGCGTGGGACTCTAGTTCCATAATCCTGATCCAACACTCCAGTCCTGAAATCCCTAGCCTGTTGCCGGGGATGATTGGAGCAGAGGTCCAGCACCATCAGAAAGAAGGCCGACAGATTAGGAAGAGCTGTCAACCAGAGATAGGGAGAAGTTCGGGTTCTTCACGGAAGAGTGTTATTTAATTTAACGTCACTGTAAATATTAAGGAACATTCTTACAGTGAGAGCTATAAGATGAGGTTAAAGCTGAAATGTTCTTCTGGGTTAGGTTTAGAGTTTATGTTTGCTTTGAAGATATAGTGAATTTGGGGTTCTGTACCACTAACCAGGAAACGTCTCCCCAGTATTTATTGTGAGACCGGGAGCTGCAGTCTCACAATAAATATTAGGGAGAATTTTCCTGGTTTGTGCTAGTGTTAGATTGATGTTATCGTTGTGACTTTCTTCTGGGTTAGAATTACAGTAGAGGTTTCCACTGACAACCTGGTGAAGTTAGAATTAAGATTCAGTTTCAATAAGAACGCTTATTTAAATGAATGTCACAATAAACACTAGGCCACATATTTGGGATTAGTCGCAGTTCTAGATTTATCTTACGCTTTTATTCTAGGGTTATGTTTCCAGCACATATTTGCATTGGAGATCAAGGGAAGTTAGGGTTAGCGCTCCACTTCTTTAAGGACTAGTGTTTACATGAAGGTCAGGGCACAGGGCACATTTTGACTTTGCTCCCCCAAAAACAGCTCCCTTCACCCTGAGGTCCTCAGCAAGAACTTTGTGATGAAAAAGGAACTTGACCAGGATCCTTCTTAGCCATGGATCTCCTTATGGTCCAGTTTCCTAAATGGCTGGAGACACACCCCTGTGGTTTCCCTTTCACAAATGGGCACCTGATGTTCTGTTTGGAATTTGCGTCCGTGTTTGTCTGCTCTTGAATTCCTCAGATGATCAGTGCTGAGCGATCATCATCATTACGATTAGCCCATTGCAACGCTACAATCCAGTGCTGAGTATCTTGCACAGGAAATTCCCAGGAACCGCTGGCTAGTTGCCAATGAGAAGAGGACGCCAGCGGCCCTTGGGAGCAGCAACGGCCAAGAACATGCCAAGCCTGTCACCTAAGACTGAAAGTATTTCTTAGCCATTGATGGATATGCCAAGCTGACTTATCTCAAGAGGTCGCCCTTCTTAATCACCTGCTCTGCAGTATTTCGTATGCAGTCCCACTTTGACCAAACCTTGTTTACACAATGTCAGTTTGTTCCCTAAAAGCCTTCAACTTTAAGGTTGCCTTCATATAACGGGCTTAACCTGGTTACTGAATCCAGGAGTCCAATATAAAAACTAAAATAACGTCCCCCGCCCCACAATGCTGTTGTGCAGATGATGCAAATAAGGTCAGAAGTCATGATGCAACTGATGCAAAATTGCATCATTTGCACAACAGTGTCATACAGCAAGTGAAGTCACACACACACACACACCCAAGTGGATGCCCATGTATTGAACAATGGCTGGGTTCATTTACTAAGCCAAAAAACAACTCAGTACCTACACGAATCAAGCTTTAGAGCTATGAGACTTCAAAAAAAAACCAACTGGTAGCAAGAGATAAAGAAAACCAAAACTTGTTGGGGCCTCCAACAGTCACCCAGATTTTTTCAGCTGAGCCCAAGGAGGCTTAGCAAACTCCACACATTTATCTACTCGGACTTTGTGAATCTGACCTGATTTGGGGTCTTGTGCAAATACAGTAGAGACTTGCATTGCAAAAGGGAGTCAGCAAAGAAAAGGATGAATGGATGCGCGAGGTGGCACAGGCCTGAAGAGCTCGCTGCACCCACCTTAAATAGACAACATGTTCCAGTTGCTCCTTTTCCTTGCTTTCTTTCCTCATCCCTCCCCGTAGCACCTGTTTTCATAGGCAGAAAATCCTGCTTTCAAAAAACCGGTTTTTTTCCTGACCCCATCGGTTTGCCTAGGTTGCTGTTACTCTTAATGCCTTTGGAGTTTTGTGCACTGACATGTGCAAAGGGAGCTTTTGTTACTGTTGTTGTTAGTCAGTTTACGGTTCTGTGTATTCTGTGAATCCGGAAAACAGGTTAATTCAGTAACCAGGTTAATAGGGCAATGGGAATGCAGCCAAGTATGCATTTTCTTCTCCTTCTGTAATTTTAGTGCTGAGTCAAATTGTCCTGTTTCTCTGCACATGTGCTTATTTGCAAACCGGAGAGGATTTAGCCCCATTTTTTCCCCTTTAAATCCGCTGTGGCTGCACTTCGCTGAAAGCTAAGCATAGGGGAACCTGGTTAAAATTTGGATGGGAGACTATCAGAAAATCCCAGGGCTGTAGGTTAGCCTCGAAGTCAGGAAATGTCTTGGAAAAAGGCAGTAGCAAAGCACCCCTTTTCGTCTGAAAGCCCACAGAGCAGAGCAAAACATCACGATCTTCATGTCTGCAAAGCTCACGGCTGTTCAATGCAGAACCCAGCAGAAGTTAGCCATTCTGGCCACCGCTGCAGATGCTTACTTGTTCTCCAGAACAATGTCAGGTAGCCATAACATCTCTGGCTGGAGGCGGAGCACTTCGATGACACTGTACTTAGTCGTGTTCCATTGCAGCCGCTGATCCAC